GTAGGGCGCGCCATGCTTGCTAATAGAGCCTGTCGGGTGGAGTCTGTAAAGGTATCCGTGGAGCTTGGGGAATGGTGAGTTCGTAGGGCACTATTCGCGAAAGGGAGGTTGAAAGGATTAGGAGATTCTCCGTTTGTTGCCATAGAGGATGAAAACATACTCTGCGAATGTCCACCCATTAAGGGCTGGCCAACGGAAGTCATGGATGGAGGAGTTGCATATGTTTCCGCAAAGGGATTCTGGGCCATCAATGACTTGGGCGAAACCGTTTCGGGTGGAATGCCTATATCGTTGAAGCTAGATGAGGTGTACTCGAGGGGAAACTGGCCGGCGGCTGCCGCCGAATGTGGGGGAAACGGGTTGTGCCAGCTGTTTGAAGAGATGGAATAGCGATGTGAGCCATCCATCATGGCTTCACTGATTCCACTCTGACTGCCCGTGCTCATTGCGGAAGGGGACGACTCATCGATGGCAGAATCGGCGCTTTTACCCATAGGCATAGCAGGGTCAAAGGTGTTCATCCAATCGAAGCTGAAATCATCTTCCATCATCCCATCCGCCGGAGGCATATGATGCGCACCATGGGCATATGGGGATGATGGCGAGTCGTTTCCGTAGGTCTGGGGTGAGCCTCCAAAGTGCAGCTGCGCTGGGTTGATGGTACTGCCATGGCCCATGAACATATCTGGGACATTGATGTCAAAGCTACCGTAAACAGGAGCAGTGCGAAGACCACCAGAAAGATCCATGGGCAAACCCGATGTTTCTAGCTTTGTCAAGCCATTCATGGAAGGATGGTGACCTGAAGAGTAACCTCGGAAATCCAGGTTGGAAGCCACTGACGCGGAGCCAATACTTGCATGATAAGTATGACCCGAGTGGCCAGCTGGCGCTGGTGGAGGATTAGAGGTGTTCACCATTCCCAAGGAAGCCCCATCGATATGGCTGATGGTATTTGCTCTGGGACGCATGTTACTGGAGTTACTAGCAATTGAGTTCTTGCGAACCCGGTTCGCTCCAGTGGATGCGCCTCCCGTGCTCTCTCGTCGACCATTTCTGGGACGTGATGATGGGGTTGTAGTCATGTGTAGTTTCTGCTGATGTCTGAGAAGGAGATCCCGACGAGCGAAACAACGCGCGCATTCGGGGCATTCAAAGGGCTTTTCTTTGGTATGCGAGCGCTCATGACGCTTGAGGTGTTCCAAGCGAGCGAAAGACCGGCCACAGGTCGTACATCCATGAGGGCGGGGCTTGTCAGTCTTGGGGGGAGGCACGTTATTTTTGGTCTCAGATTGGCCGTTGGACTCCTTCTTCGAGTCCTCTTTGGGGGCAGCTGGTCTTGTTAGGAATCACGGATAGATAAGCATACTCCTCGAAGAACATAAGCTCACCAGGCACATCGACCGGGACCTCGCTGATACTAGCAAGGTCCTCCACCTTAGGGCTCGTGGCCGGGTCCTGGCCGACCATTGTATCTAGTAACATCCTAAGAACGTTCTTCTGTTTTGTGGGAACCAGTTTACGAAAGCACTGGTTGCGGGGGCGGGGTCTGGAATAGCGCGAGGCGGGGTGTTTGTTTATAAGGTAGATGAAGACGACAAAGCACTGCCAATAGAGGAAGGACAGTAGACGTGACGAAAGGAAGCTACTGGTGAAGATTGCGAAAGAGATGCGACATTGACAGCATTCTGATTCAATGAGATCAGAATTAGCTTGGTTCGTTGTCCGGACAAAAGATGCAGCGAATAGAATGCAGCAATGCCACGGGAAGCTCACCAAGTCAGGACAGAAGGTCGGGGAGATGAACAAACAAGAAGGCCGTTATTCGGGGGGAGGTAGTAGTTTTCAAGGTAGGTTGAATGAATAGAAATTGTGGGCGGCGATAACTTGATAAAGTGTAGACGATTAACAGGATCACCGTTACAAAGGAATTAGACCAAGTGGGTGTGGGTGGCGAAGTGGCTCCGTTCCTGGGGGGAGAGGCAATCGATCGCGGAATTAGCAACTGTAATCAGCAGGGGTTGAGTTTCCAGGCTCCAGGGGAAACCCACGGGTGGCTACTCACCAAGCTCTGCGGACGGAAAGACTCGTGAGGACGGACTAAATCACCCACGAATGCCAGAAACCATTGGACCCGGATTCCTTAGACGAGAATTGTGGTATAGGATAGGATGGAGGTCAGTTGCGCGGGCATGCGCCGCGATGGTGGTGTGAGTCGGTGGATAAGCCGGAGATAGCCGACTGGAGTTATGGGCGGGTGTTGCTGAGCTAGTAGTGGTAGTAGTAGCTGTGCTCAATCAATTGCTGATAAGCAGGCAAGAGGGCGGTATGTGGTTCGAAGATAATAGCTCAGAAGAAAGAGAAGAAAGGCACACTTTGAGTTGGGGATGTGGGGAGAGGGGGGTAATATGAAAGTGAAAAAAATAAAAGAATAGTAGGAGTAGTTGTAGTAGTGGTGGTGGTTAGATAGATGTAATTAAGAGGGATGGAAGGTGAGCAGGAAGGATGACTGATGAATGGGGGATGGGGGATGAGCGTGGATTGGGTGGTTGTAAGGCTGTACTCTCCGAGGGGTGTCAGTACGAGCAGGAACCGCAGCAGTTAGTGGCTTCTGCCGCAGCAAGGAAACGCCCTAGTAGTAGTCTGCCTGTTGCACGGGGAGCACCAGAACTGAACAACTCGCAGGATCGTTCGCAGTGGTTCTTTTTCTTTTCTTTTCTCTTCTTTCTGTTCGTTCTTTCTTTTCACTCACTCACTCACTCACTCAACGGTACATGCTCCGAGCAGCTGGTCGGGTTATCTAGTGGCAGGTCGATGGTATGTCGTAAGCAGGTGTGGTCCATTCACCTGCTAAACCAACTAGTTAGCTAGTCATCTCCAATTGCCAGATATGTCATTTCGTTTCGATTTATTACTCCATATTATTTCCTGAAGTATTGGGATCGCTCCTCCGGTTACGAACAGACCAGCCTGGCCTCCCAACTAAATGATGGCCGGACTACAACCTACTACCTTAGCTACCCAGGCCGAAAGTGACCTTTTTCTTTTTTCCCCTTCCTTTTTCAATTTTCTTTTCCTATTTTGCAACCTACATTTTACCAGCTTGAGCAGTGAGAGGCCCGTCTAATTAACTAAACTTACCCCGGCGAATGTTGCGGGACAAACCCACGAAACAGCATCCAGCTTTAGTCACGGTCGGTCAGCCAATAATGGGCTGTGACGGGAAACGGAGTGGGCCGGGTGGCTCTGGTCCGGCGTGCTTTGGGAGGGAAAGCATGGGCCATGACAGGGCCAGAGCCAGAAAGCGGGCCCCACCACCCAGTCACGGGGGAGTGGATGCTAGTCCCAGCCCACAATACGGTCACATCCCGGCCGCGCGTATTGTAACTTTGTATCTCCTGGGTATTCGCACGTCACGCAGGTCTCTCTCCGATCACTTTACTTCCTGGGCAGGTAGTATCTACTAAGTTACTTCCCTTGCTAGTGGGATGATTGCTAGTAAAGTAACTAATTAACTAGCCAGCTAGAGAGACAGACGAAGAAAGCTATCCACGTAGACCGCGACCTGGCCATCTGAGCCCGTCCGATGGCCGGTGGAATGATCCTAATTACGACACACACCGTCGTCTAGAATGTCAACGATGGCCCTTCGGCAGGGGACACGGCCGAGAGTACAAGGCAGTAACAAGGAGGCAGAAGAAGAATTGGTCCTGAGAATAGACTAGTCGTGCATGACCGGCTTCGTCAAGATCATCAATTCCCTCTCATTGTCTTGAGTGCAACTTCCAATGAGACATGGAATACGGAGCACTAGCAACGAGGACCATATCGTTATTTTTAATCTGGTTAATAATCTATGAAGACACACTAGTAGGATGGTGGTCTGGTACCTAGGCCTGCATAAGTTGTGTTCTACTTCAGAATGTCAGTGTTGTCGGTTATTTGAGACAGTATCCTTCATGTTTGTCGACGGTACTCTTGCTTGCTCTGTTCAATCTCGCAACAAACAATTGGTGTAGGAGCTCGAAGACTCGCTGTGGCTTGGTGGAAGGGTTTCGAATTCATCCAAGCTGGAGCTGTTGTGTTTGTCGCTGGAGATCTCTAGAAAGGGCGCCGGTGTCTACAGGATGAGCACAGAGCAACACTTGAAAACTAGGGCCATTTGCTGCAGTACTAGTTGATCAAGGTGATCCAAATTATGGCATAATCAAAAAAGCTCATGCTGCATGCCAGAAAATCGCACCCATCCGGGATACAACATAAAGTCTGTGTGTTGAATTAGGTTCAGTCTGGTCTGTCACGTATTAATTGAGAAAGAGGTAAAGCAGGCGGTGCCATTCAGAGACAAGACAAACACAGCCTTGCCTTTCTAGAACCTCGCATACTCTTCTGGGTCCTGAGGCATCCAGGAAATCTCGACGACGCAAGCAGCTAATGAATCCACAATGGATTACTAGCCAAGAGACTACCCTAGATAGATGATGATGATTATCTCGCGTTACTTACAGCGTTTCTTTTCCCAACTGGCCACAGTCACTTATCATCGGCAAATGGATTGCAGATTAGATTACCGGTGAGTTGGTGAGTCACTACTGAAAGTCAAGGGCGCTTCAGGCTACCGGACTAGTATGCAAGCTAACTGGATCAGGCAGGCTCACGGGCTGCAGGCCGATTGTGGCCGGTTCTGCTTTTTGGTGTGCGACCTGGGGTAATTATTGATACGGCGCGTAGGTAACATTGACGCTGGTGAAAGGGTAAGATATGGTAAGACTGTAAGAGAACCATACCGGTTCGGTCTCCAAGCCGTTATTTGGCCCGTCTTAGCCTCTTGGGTCATTTCTCTCGGCAGGAGCCAGAGTTCAGAGTGGAATTCAACCCCAGACCTCGTGACTGCCCGGATCGGCCACTATTGCCTCCGGCTTTAGCAGGAGCCACGATGGAAGCGAGATCCCAGTCAGAGCATCCGTCATCCGTATGGGGTAGGAACAAAGAGGGAAAAGAAACCACGTCGACGGGTCGGCTGGTTGGGGTTGGAGGGAAACCATTAAACCTTCGACGGCTACGCCCGAGTCGGTGGGCTGCCTAGCCTGCTTGGCTGCTTACATATGTGGTGGCGGCTGGCGCCGCTTCAAAAACCCCCCAATCAGGGTAATGGAGGGAAACAATGGAAGTGATCGTAATTAATCGCAGCTGGAGCCAATTTGGCAGGGAGAAAGGAGGAAGACGTTGGGGGGGTGGAGAGAGACAGGAAAAGGAAGGACCGGTTGCGAGCTGGAGCACTGGACCATCTTCTAGTCTCAGTCAGTTCAGTCAGTCAGTCAGTCTATCTCCTGCACTAGTCTCACGACCGGACCGCAGCATGGAAAACCGAGCCTGCGCCATTTTGTGGGGAGGACGAATGAGAAGGTTCAAGGTTCGTGTGGGGGATTTCCCTGGATCCAGCGGGTATTTTGCCAATCGTATCCGTTCGATCCGTTGCTGCAGGTGGGACCCCTGAGGTCATTCCACCGGCTGGAAAGTGGTCTGCCTGGGGTGGGAAAGAGAGACGAATGACTGCTTGGAGAGCTGCAAAGTATGGTACCAAGCTGATACCTCATCGTGTTAACAAACTGTTGGGAAGTCAAAGTAGCTAAGACGGTACCAATCCCGACAAACGAGAATGTCGGTTACTCCCCCAGCCATCTTTCCTCCACGATGGGACGCAGATGCGCCTAGGCATCCAACTACCTAGGTTCATCCTTCCTCGCTTCCATCGGGCGGTGTCCAATTTTGGTCCCAGCTGCTAAGGTTAATCGACGACTTCTTTTTTTGTTCGGTTTCACCTCATCTTCCGCAACGCCCCCATCGGGCAGTTGATCGTTGCCTAGTGGAGTACCTTTCCCTGTCAAGCGGACGACGATGAAGACTTGGCAAAGGCCGTGGGCGAAATAATCCGGAGCCCATCGGTTGCACTAGTAGCTTCCGACATTCCATCGCCCGGTGATTGGATCTGAGCGCCGGCCATAGCTGATCATCTTGCTCAGTTTCCCCAAAGACTGGCGTCCCCTGAAGCACTGGGGTCGGTTCCCTAGGAACAGCGCGTTCGCCCTCGATTTCCGGGAACGGACAACCAACCAACACGAGTAATCCCTTCAAAGTATCGTGCCCACGTTGGTCGCATTGGCCAATCTCGTCTCCAATTCCGAGGAGGTCACTGGCGCACGCGAGTTTGACTTTCATGCTAAATTGTCTGAGCATGGGTATCGTCGCCATTCCGAGGCAGGCCCAAACACAACACTAATTAGAGTGTCCACGCATTATGCACAAGCGACTGTCCAGTCTTATCCAGGATGTGCATGGGGGGAGTGCGGATGGTTGCGGACCTGCTGACTGTCAACTTTAACGGGCGGTTGTTGGTCGCACGACCGCTGTGCCGTCGCAATGAGAACTGATTTAGAACAGGACTCCCAGTATCAAGTAAGAATCGAGCAGGTACAGTTCCTGTGTCTTCAACCGATATATTCCAGTCATGGATTATAATGGCGCGATCTACAAAATGAAAGCTATAATCCGAGCGGCATACAAAAGCCCGTCCTGCTGAAGCCTGTGATGTCTCTGTAAAGTGCCAGCGATGAACAACAAGAAGCGCACAAAAGAAACATCCCATGCACTTACCAGGTTGCTAACATGCTTTGAAGCCCGTATGAACCAAAATTCCTTGCAGCGTCAAGGGATGGTCTTGCATGGTAACCTATAGAGCTGCACGAGGATCTCATTTACCCAGGATTAGCCGCCCACCTTTGCTGCCGACGTGAGTGCTACAACGACCGATTGGTTGAGCATGTCTGGCAACATCCCACGTTATGACGTCTATGGGCTTGCAGACAGAAAGTTGAGCAATGATTGCTGGCGTGAAGGTGTTTGAGAACAGCTTCCATGCATGGATCTAGCACGGGGTCCATGGTCCCTCTGCGATACGTCGACGGTGGCATATGCAACATTTTATCCGCGCATTGTAAATGACGACGGTAGGAGAATCTAAGAATTCTAGGATAATAGTGTGAGAATGGGACGTTGTCGAGCGGTGTTGCACAACCATCTCGAAACGAGCAGTATGACTCGTGCGAAGCATAATTTCATCTCACCCATGGATAGCGGACACGTAGTAGTGGGCTGAGCTCGCCGCGGTTCTTACATAGTACACCCTTCCGAGGTCAGTTCCTTCAGTTCCTTTATCGCACGGTCCCTCTTTCTGGCTGACCACAGACCCTCGACACCTGAGGCCACCGACAGCTCAAGCGCCATTTAGCATTTAGTGCGGTGTCATTGTGGTGCACCGGTGGTATTAGTGGTATTGACCGAGTAGGTAAGCAATACCCTGGATCTACACATACACACGCATCGTCACCACCAGGGCCAGCTACTACTGCTAAAGCCCGAGAAAGAAATGGGTAGTCGGCAGGACGCTAGCATCCCCTTATATACAGGTACCAATTGCGGAGATGCCAATCATCACGTTGGTGTTGCCGCAACCTTCGATCCGCCGTCAAGGTTACCGAGGAACGATACGTTAGTACACCTGTCAAACACCGAGTAATCCGAACCTAACCAGTCTGGGGTCCCGTTGCGGAAGATCTCCTACCAGTGCCTCCTTAGCGCTCTACTGGAGACGGCTGGCCCGAGGGCGTTGTGGATTAGGGGCGGGTGCGATCGTGTTACTATACGACTTGATGCATCTGAGATTCACCAACCCCCTTGAATCTCCAGAGGAAAACAAGAAATGAAACCTCCCTGCTTTTCCGCGAGAGGCGACGAACGCTGTGCTATAGAAATGCCAACTAGTGAAGCGGATACCTAGAGCCGCCCGACTTGAGCATGTACATATGCGAAGCTGCCGACGATCTGAGACGCATCCAGAGGACGTGTTGCACAGATGATAGGCGCATGAAGCATCAACCTAGTAATCTGAGCAAGCTTGGCAACAGGATACAGACAGGGATCCAGCAACGGGTGTCACGGACCACTATGGTCCGATATGGTGCACTGCAGCGTCATCAGCCCTCCTGTACTCCGTACGGACAGCTACCCATCCACACGAAGCATAGAACAATCGCATTGTCGATCCTGCGCAACGCGAGTAACAGGCAGCCTGAGAAGAAAAATCTCCGACGGCGTGCATGGCGATCGTGAAATACAGGCGCCCTGGTGGTCTTTGCTCGAGCGGATATGCAAGATGGCATCATGGGCGCGAGATAACTTCTGCACGGGCCGTGGCACTCGTCACAAAAGTAATAATACTTACAGGATAAGGCTGTAAGCACCGAGTCGAGGTACCCAGCTTGTCCTCATCGAGATCTCACGCGTGCTTTCTTCGCGGGTACTTCAAGGATGCTAACCACCGTTATGCGCAGGCTGTGCGATGAGGGATATTCAAGTAGCCCCGGTCGACATTGGGATACAGGTGCTGAATAGCTGTTACATGCTCTGGTTGACCACAGGGGACAACGGAACGCCTCTAGGGCTGATTTGCTATCAGATGGCCGGATATAACTCCCTAATTACGGGCGACTGAAGTAGTAGCACGCCATTCCTTAGTAGCTCCGACAATCCCCCAGTGGCCGAGTAAATTAAGGACCGGGATGATGATAGGCCCGCTGTCACTGCAGTTGTCCTTCTTATCCCACCCCACCAGTAGCGTCTCCACTCTTCAACATTGACCAGTAATTGCAGTCTGTCACGATGTGGTGTTGCACTGGCCGGTGGGCATCCCTCCACACTGCAATTGGCACGGGAGGCCCTCCCCTCCACATTGTTTTGGCGTGTTGAAATAGTAGCCAATTGTCTTCTAGTCGGTCTCCCACACCATCGCCTTAATCATCTAGGCCCAGACATACTAGTAAATAAGTAGCAACGTGCGACGGCGACGAGATTAATAATACACCTTCGAAGTGTGATTTGATCATTGCAGATAAGTGACCAACAATTCGGTGGTTGGAGTAATAATAATACCTCGCTGACTTGCACTCCAATGACCCCATCCGGTCTAGTAAGATGTGATTGTCAACCACAGTATACTAATACCTATCTGGACTAACTATCCACCTTTCTATGTATGCAATATGTCCGCGCTCTCCCATCTGTGGAGAAAGCTCCTCGGCCTGATTGTTGCATGATATGTAACCTTGCCAGTTGCCAGTTGCCACTGCACATCCTCAAACCACAGCATTGAACAGCTATTATACTAGCAGAATAATGGTGGGAAGCGCGCGCCCACACACAATAATACCCACTACTACTACCTAACAACCAATAATCATCACCTCCTCACACCCACCACTACTTTACTAAACAGGGATTCCCCCAGTAGCACATAACACACAAGCCCATTGAAAAGCTGACTCGACCGTTCCTGGTGCTACGCGGTCTCACCCTAGGCAACATAAGACCTACAGTAGCGTGATGCAGGAAGCAAAAGTAATTGAAATTAGCGCGATATTCCTTTCTTCCATTTATTTATTTTTCCTTTCTCTCGATAATTGCTTTGCCAGGCTACCAGCTAGCCTAGCTAAACCTGTTTTGTAGTACCTTCTCCTAGTAATTTTCCAAACTACTAATGCATGTCGGCATCGTATCTAGATACTACATGATGGTATTACCCGCAGTTACTCCGAGGTGATTTCTCTTGACTTGTAAGTTTCACTACACTCACTCACTTACTAGCAGGCGTAATAATATTTATTATTATTTTACTCCAACCACCCTGTGTGGAGTGGTGGAGCGGAACTGCGGCTGAGCCTTGACGATCCTGCACGCTACGGGAACGGGATTATGCTGGTTTTTTTCTTGCTGTCTTGCTGGTTTTAGTTCAAGTTGTTGTTCGGATGAGGGATATTTTGGGCCCCGGAACGGTTGGTGTCGGATCGCACTTTCTTTACTTTACAACTCCATACTATTATTGTTCTACGAGGGTTTTCGGATGGGTGGGATGGGATGAAATTTTTGTTATTCCATTGGGAGTATCCAATTACTCGGTCACTCACTCATTCATTTATCTTACCTATTCTCATTGTAGACCAAATTGTCTAGGTAGACCACAGATAGCTCCCCACCACACCACACCTACTTACTTCGTAGTTGTTACTTCCGAGGTAAATAGATAGAAAGATAGATAGATAGCTAGATACTTATCCATCCGTCTTTCCGTTCGCATGCACACACACCTAAACTAGCGCCATAGCGCTGGCCCCCTTCTAAAAGTCTTCCCGTGCCACGGGCCGCCGTGCAGAACGCGTTGCAGGAATGGGGAGGAAATTAATAGATAATACATACGGAGTAGAATAGATAGGTAAGGAAGGGAAGGAAGGTATCCACGTCCGCGCACACGCGCCCGGCCGCCCGTCATTTTAACCAGCCCACATACATCCCACCAGACCTACTTACCTTCTTACTGCAGTTTAGCTAGTAGCTACTAAGTTAGTAAGAGAAGACCGGTTGGATGCACGGGCCTTTTGGTGGTCCCTGCATGTGGAATGGGAAAGTTACTACTATGTTATTAAGTTACTGGGTTATACGGTATTGGGTGGGTGATTGGATGCTGAAAATGGATGGTGGATGATGGGTGTGTGGTAGGTAGATATGGAGGATGAATTTCTCAACTATGTGAATATAGGGCACTGAATGA